GGGGGGGGGGGGGGGGGGGGGGAATTCAGGTTCTTCTTTACTCATACATTATAAGAATTACTACCACCGATAATTCCCTCTTTCAGGAGTTTTTTTTTATAAGCGAGTTTTCGTGAAATTAGCTCTCCATCATTCAATCAATCAGGGCTGATTTTTGTCTTCGGAATAACGAAGAAATCACAGATTGTAAAGGCAGTTTATACTTAAAAAACAATCAAAAAATGTGGTAAAAAAGATAAAATACAAAAAAATGTTACCTTGTCGGGATCCATTCCTAATGCTTTAAGCTGCCGTTCAATTTGCCTTCGTGCTCCATTCATTGTTACACCATAAACAGTCGTCATTACCGTTTGTTTTATTACCTTAATTAATCATCACACAATACTATTCAATGATGTAACTTACGATTTAATGGACCGAAACATTTCTTACCAATTATAAATAATTTTATACTCCCAGTCCCCTTTTTTTCACTTCTTCCCCCTCTGTCCTTTTTCCTTCCCCTCATTTTCTACCTTATCTTTAAATTACAGCTCAGGCATTCCAAGCGACTTAATGAGCCAAAATTCAGGACAATTCATTTTTCATCAAAAAAAAAAAAAACAAACATTTTAAAGTAATGGAAAAAAAAACGACAGAGTGGGAAATAAACTTGGATGGGGAACATCCCTCTAAGACTTCGACGGGGAACATCCTTCCGAAGATTTCAGCGCTCTAGCTTCTCAGATCACCGAGTTATGAACTTATTTGAAAGAAATTTGGCGGGCCCATACGTGGATACCACCTTTCGTGCAACCGGGCCTGGCATAACAGCTCGCAGTGAAAGTGCCAAATTCTGTATTTCTGGATCACCACTCTTTTCGTCCTCCAAACGTTTCTGTTCCACTCTGAAAATTTTTGTAACTTTTCAAAGTGCTCAAAAAAATTTGCAGCCGTTGGAAGGCCGAATCGTAGTCTTAAAACAAGTGGACCGTCCAGAAAAAAAACAAAATTCGTAGCGACCAGAGTCCGAAAATTAAAATCTGTGCTTATTCTTCGGCTTACCTACG